AGTTTGAGTTGGACTACCCGAATGAATATATCATTGCATTGAAAGGTAAGTATGATAAATTCCACCAAGAGAAAGGCGGCAATAAGACATGGTTGACGACTTTGACATTCGTAACTAATAAACGAACATCGAGACCATATGGGCTCGATGCTGGCGAATCTTTCGAACTCAAGGAAGAAGGTTACAAAATCGTCGGGTTCCATGGAAAAGCTAGTGATTATGTTCATCAAATCGGAGTCTATGTCGTGCCAATCACCAATTGAAAAGTTTGTTGTTTTTCTTTGATTTCCATATTGAATAAAATGGTGTTATAGCATAGCCATATATTTCTTGGATATGTCACCTCGAGGTCTCTTGATAGAGACTATATGTTTGTGTTGGTGTTTCAGTGTGATTTTCGTGATGTCAGTTTTGATTGTAATTAAAAAAATGTGTTTCTTACAGTCTTGTAGAGAACTACAAAGATGGTTTTTGTCTTAACTAGAATTTTAATTACTCATATACTCTCAATCTCTAGTGTTTCCTTAATTTAGCATTATATTTATAAATTGTTGCAGAAATTCTATACTCTATCTCTAATGTGCTTCCAATAAATCATTTTTTAAAAACAAATTATATATATATATAATATAAAAAAAAACCAAAAACTAAATAAATGACTATTCAATTTTTTTTTAAAACATAGGCCTTATTCTTTTACAAAACAAAGCGACAGAAACAGCGACTAAAAAAATTGCAACAAAATAATTAAACTAGAGCTCAAAGTTGTGGAAAGTCCATCGTTGATGTTGGTTCTGGAAACATACCAACAACTTTCGTTGTTGCCAGAGAAAACTAAACTAAAACCTTTAAAACATATCAATAAATAAAAAAGTTTAAAAGTACCCTTTTTGTTTCAAACTAAATAAAATATCACTCATTTAAAAGAAAATGAATTTTCATGAAATGCCACACCTATATGCCATTTGTCAAAAATACTACATTTTAAAAATCTTTGCAAAACTACCATTTTTAAAATACTATCATTTAATCAAAATATCATTTATATTTAGATTAACTATGTTATGTTAGGGTTTAGAATTTGGTAGGGTTATAACTAAAATATTAATTACTTGGAACCCAAAATTGTGGAAAATTCATCGCCGGTGTTAGTTCCAGTTACACAGCAACAACGATATTCTTCAATAAACTCAAAAAACCAAAAACAAAACTACTCAAAATGGGCCATATTCTCCCCCAAATTAGTCCCATTTTCTCGTGTTTTCGTAGATTGGGCTTTGATTCTTGTGTCATCTTCTGCTATATTTTATTGGTCCAAGCCCATATTAAATGGGCCAAACTTAATAATCGAATAAACAAAAAAGCCAAAAACTACGACTAT